AGAGAAGAAAAATTCAGTTTGTTTTTTTGAAAATACATGTTACCATTTAGGCTCAGTTTGAACGTCATACCATTTTTTCCATCGGTTTTGTTAGATTTTCGCTTCTTCGTCGAATGCTCCGTTTCAGTGGCGTCCTTTGATAATCGCTTGGTCGCTGTGTCACTTGTCAGATCAATTGCTTCCATCAACTTGTCTTTGGCTGATGTTCCTGATGCCGTTGTTGTTATTGGTGCTCTTACCGGTGGGTTTGTTGATGTTGTTGTTGCTGCCATTGTTGTTGTAGTTGTAGCCGTAGCTGTAGCTGTAGTTGTAGCTGTAGCTTTTGACGTTGTTCGTTTTGTTGCTTCTGTTGCTTTTGCCGTTGATGTTGTTGCCTTGGCATTTGGCATCTTGTCTGAAATTTTCCACTTCGACTCGGTGCCGTAGCGTTTGCATGTTTGATTCAGGCTGTAAAACAAAAACCATTCACTCTTTTCAATCAAAACAGAACCAATTTTAGAAACCAAATCGAAATAAATTACCGCTCGATGGTCGCTTTCAAGAAATGGCTTAGAAACTTCTTGTCAATCTTCATTCCATACTCTCCAAATCGATCCAATGCCACTCTCGCCTCGTACTGAACATTTTCCAAATGCTTATCCATGTGTTTGTCTATGACTTTTTTCTCCATCGTTGCTGTGAAAATGAAACAAACAATGTATGACATTCGATTGAAATGACTTTGTTTTAATTTTTTTTGACTATGTTGACTAGATGTTAGTCTTTTAATCACTTTTTTTTATACAGTTTTGCGACATTTTGCCTATATTATGTACGTACTGTGACTGGAATTTCAATCAATAAACAGTCATTGGACTAACTAAACCAATTTGATTGAGTTTGTTCTAAATTGATTGAATTTGTTTGGCATTGCAATCAAAGTACGTACAAAAATCCAACCAAAATGTCGAAAATAGAGGTGTAATCAATATGCTTTTCACAAGGGAAATGTTTGCTATCACTCGTTTTGAATATCAACAAAAAACTATAAATAATGTACAAACTAAACGGCGATTCAACAACATCAATTCACGGAATGAATGCGATTCAGAACGTTCTCTTTGGGAAATTCCTGCATATTTTCAATTTTCTCAAAAGAATGTTCTTCAAAAAACACTTTACACTATCATTGTAACTCACCTGACCAATTTTTTCCTTGAAAGAATCAATGCTTTACGCACAACTTAATGTTTTTCAACAAAATTCAATCAATTTTACCGTGTACCGCAATGTAGTAGCTTGACAGTATGAACTCTATCTGTCAGAATGAATCGTTTATATCAGATGGTCGGCGGCACAGCTGAATGACAATACACACAATGCGGTTAGCGTTTATAACCAATTCGCGCACATTTGTTGTTGTTCATGCTGTGTGCGCGTATCAATCGAAGAAAGGGCAGTGAATGTGTATGTATTTATGCACCAATGTTTGTGTTTAAAACAGTTGATTTCGTTAGAGCAGGGTTGTCAAAGTTTTCATTCGCTGTTTAAATTGATTTGAGCAAGGTTCAATAGAATAGAATTTTTTTTATTTCAATGTTTTATTGAAAATTGAATCAAAATACATTCATTGTATTCTATGTGTGATTAGAGTCGGTATTCATGAGGAATATTAATGTCATCAAAAAAATGTATGAATTTTGTGTTAATTGTGATTGATATAAAAAAAG